GAAGTCGTGACACCCATGCCCTCGTCGATTCCGGGGCGGAGGGAAATTTCATTGACTCCAGTTTCGCTTTCAGTTCTAAACTTCCGGTTATCGCACTGTCACAACCCATTGCAGTACGCGCCCTCAGTGGGCTTTCCCTTCCCACTATCACTCACTCCACCAAACCCATAAAACTTATCACGTCTGGAAATCATGTTAAACACATTTCATTTTTTTTAACAGACTGTTCCAACTCACCGGTGGTTTTAGGACATCCATGGTTAATTCTTCATAAACCTCACATTAATTGGGGTCTTAATTCCATATTTTCGTGGAGTGAGAAATGTCATGAGTCTTGTCTTTCGTCTGCTCGTTCTGCTGTTTCTTGTTCTGTGTTTCAGGAGGAGCGCATGGACCTGTCAAACGTGCCCAGTGAGTACCTCGACCTGAAGAGAGTGTTCAGTAAGTCTCGAGCTGCTTCTCTGCCTCCTCATCGTCCCTATGACTGTGCAATAGATTTATTGCCAGGTACCTCTCCGCCTAAAGGCAAGTTATACTCTCTTTCCATTCCTGAGAGGGAGGCCATGGAGAAATATATTTCTGATTCTCTAGCGGCCAAGATCATACGACCCTCTTCTTCTCCGGCGGGGGCGGGGTTCTTTTTCGTGAAAAAGAAGGATGAGTCTCTTAGACCTTGTATAGACTATCGAGGGCTGAACAGCATCACGGTGAAGAATACGTATCCTTTGCCGCTGATGTCTTCAGCGTTCGAGCGTCTGCAAGGGGCTTCGTTTTTCACGAAATTAGATCTCCGTAACGCATATCATTTGGTTCACATGAAGCAGGGTCATGAGTGGAAAACCGCGTTTTTGACCCCCAGGGGGCATTTTGAATATTGTGTTCTTCCGTTCGGGCTTTCTAATGCTCCTGCGGTTTTCCAAGCACTCGTAAATGACGTGTTACGAGACATGATAGATCAGTTTATTTATGTCTACCTGGATGACATTCTGATTTTTTCTCGTTCTCTCCAGGAACATGTGCAGCACGTCAGGCGAGTGCTTCAGCGGCTGCTAGAGAATGGGCTTTTTGTCAAGGCGGAGAAATGCGTGTTCCATGCACAGTCTGTTCCCTTTCTAGGACACATTGTGTCAGTCGAGGGGGTGCGCATGGATCCAGAGAAGGTTCAGGCTGTGGTGAATTGGCCAATCCCCGAGTCTCGTAAGGCCCTGCAGAGATTTCTGGGCTTCGCTAATTTTTACCGGCGTTTTATTCGCAATTTCAGCCAGCTCGCCGCCCCTCTGACATCCTTAACCTCCGCCAAGACGCCCTTCAGGTGGTCGAGTGCAGCACAGGTTGCATTCACTAAACTAAAGAGCCGCTTCGTTTCAGCTCCTATTCTGGTGACACCTGATCCAGCCCGGCAGTTCGTGGTGGAGGTTGACGCGTCAGAGGTGGGCGTGGGCGCGATCCTGTCCCAGCGCGCAGCCTCGGATGACATAATACATCCGTGCGCGTTTTTCTCTCACCGATTATCTCCCGCTGAACGAAATTACGACATTGGTAATAGGGAGTTGTTGGCTGTCAAACTCGCTTTGGAGGAGTGGCGTCATTGGTTGGAGGGTTCGGGGGTTCCCTTTATCGTTTGGACCGATCATAAGAACCTCGAATACATCAGGTCCGCCAAACGACTTAACTCCAGGCAGGCTCGGTGGGCATTATTTTTCGGACGTTTTGACTTTACCATCTCATATCGACCGGGTTCTAAAAACATCAAACCCGACGCGTTATCCCGTCTTTTTGATTCTTCCGAGCGCAATACGTCTCTTGAGCCCATCGTTCCCCAGAGGATTTGTATTTCTGCAGTAACATGGGAGATCGAGAGCAGGGTCCGCACAGCCCTGGATGGGGTAACGCCCCCGGTCGGATGCCCACCCAGTCGTTTGTTTGTGCCGGAGGAGATTCGGTCTGACGTCATTCGGTGGGGACATTCCTCCAAAGTGGCTTGTCATCCTGGGGTGAGTCGTACATTATTTTTGGTTAAACAGCGGTTTTGGTGGCCAGCTATGGCACGGGACATACGCGAGTTTGTTTTGGCCTGTTCTGTTTGTGCTGTTTCTAAGACTTCTAATCGCCCCCCTGCTGGACTCCTTCAGCCGCTGTCAGTGCCTTCGAGACCCTGGTCGCACATTTCGCTAGATTTCGTCACTGGTCTCCCGCCATCTGGTGGCAATACGGCTGTTTTGACCGTTGTGGACCGGTTCTCGAAGGCTACTCATTTCATTCCTCTGCCCAAATTACCCTCAGCCAGAGAGACAGCGGATGCTGTCATTAATCACGTCTTTCGCATTCATGGCCTCCCGACGGACGTGGTTTCTGACAGGGGACCGCAGTTTGTCTCTAAATTTTGGAGAGAATTCTGTCATTTATTGGGAGCGACTGTAAGCCTTTCTTCTGGTTTCCATCCTCAGAGTAACGGACAAACAGAGAGGGCCAATCAAGATCTCGAGCGTATGTTACGTTGTTTGGTTTCCCAAAATCCCGCCTCTTGGAGTCAGCAGCTCCCATGGGTGGAGTACGCACACAATTCATTACCAGTGTCGGCTACGGGCCTCTCTCCGTTTCAGTGTAGCTTAGGATACCAGCCACCAGCTTTTCCCAGTCTGGAATCCGAAATCGCGGTCCCCTCTGCCCACGCCTTTGTCCAGAGGTGCCGACGCACTTGGAGCAGAGCCAGACAGACCCTCCTCCAAGTGGGTGCGCGCACCAAGGCTAAAGCCGATCGCCACCGGTCGAAGCCTCCCGTTTATGTCGTCGGTCAAAAAGTGTGGCTTTCAACTAAGAATATTCCCTTGCGTTCCGTATGTAATAAACTTGCACCTAAATTTATTGGCCCATTCACTGTCATCAAGATCATTAGTCCGGTGGCAGTCCGCCTCAAACTTCCTCCAGCGTACAGGAGAATACATCCCGTGTTTCATGTTTCCAAATTAAAGCCCGTTTTTCATACGGCCATTAACCCGCCCACTCCGGTTCCCCCCCCGCCGCGTCTCGTAGATGGGGAGACCGTTTATTCGGTTAAGCGCATTCTGGACTCGAGACGGAGGGGACGAGGATTTCAGTACTTGGTGGACTGGGAAGGTTATGGTGCGGAGGAGAGGAGTTGGGTTCCTGCAAAGGACATATTGGATCACTCTCTTATCGATGATTACAATCGCCAGGTAAGCTCTTCTGGAAGCACCAGGAGGTGCTCGTAGGAGAGGAGGTAATGTCACGGTTGCAGGTTTGTGCGCTTCTCCGGAGTGTATGTTGATCACGTGGGTTTGTTTTGTTTTGGTTATCCATGTGGATTTGTTAGGCTCACATGTTATGACGTCATTCAGTTGGTCTGATTAGTTCGCCAGCTGAGGCTCATCATGGTGCCTATATCTGGGCGACGCTTTTGTGTGTCTGTGTCAGTTCGTTGTTATCACTCATGTTTGTGTGTCTGTGCTCAGGCCCTGCGGAGTAATCTGGATCTGGTTTTCCCCGTTCTGTTTCCTGCCCTGCGTCCTGCGTCCGTCTAGCCTGACACTATTTGTATTTGTCATCACAATAAACTTGTACACTTGCTATTGGATCTTCTCTGACTCTCATTGAAACGTAACAAAAATGTTGTTAAATTGTTATATTGTTGTTTTTTTATCCAACTTTGTTATATTTTGACACTCCTGTTATTTAGCAATGTTTAAACTTTACAGTTTAATTTTTTAGATAAGATTTTTTAGATAAGATTGCAAAGATTATTGTTCATTCATTCAGTCATTCTTTCTTTTTCTTTGCGGCTTAGTCCCTTTAATCTGGGGTCGCCACAGTGGAATTAACCACCAACTTATCCAGTATTTGTTTTACGCAGCGAATGCCCTTCCAGCTGCAACCCATCACTGGGAAACATCCATACACACTCATTTACACACATACACTACGGACAATTAGCCTATACCCAATTCACCTATACCACATGTTTTTGGACTTGTGGAGGAAACCAGAGCACCCAGTGGAAACCCATGCAAACACGGGGAGAACATGCAAACTTCACACAGAAATACCAACTGAGCGAGGAGGGGCTCGATCCAGCAACCTTCTTGCTGTGAGGCAATTGTGCTATCCACTGCGCCACTGTGCTGCCCATTATTGTTCATTTGATTCTAATTTAATTATCATTTATTAGGGATTTGTAAAGCATAACTAGTCCTCACTTTAGATTAGGTCACAAAACTGCATGAAGTTAAGTTAATAAATCATTTCTTAACATACATATATAACTATTAATATATGCCTGAACAATAAGATGTATAAACACTAATTTCAATAACTCATTCTGAAGGATCTTAAAAACCACCAACTACTCTTAAATACAAATGGTTTGTAAATAATGCAATACTTCAGTTAGTCATGAAAAATCACTGTCACAAATTATGAAAGTAAACACATTATTTATACCTGTGCTTATAAGTTAAGAACAAAGCATTTGTAACTGTAGTTATAAACTGTTTACTAACAAGTATTAATGTAGAGTCAATGATTAATCAATAATGAAATAACTATATTCTAATGCTTAGTAACTGGTTTATAGTGTGTAGTTATTAAAAAGTGTTACCCTGAAGTTTTTTCTCTTGCCAAGGTTGCTTATTATACTGTACATATAATGCATGTCATTAAAAGCTTTTTTTTATTTTGAATTGTTAGTTTTTTGCCATAATATACTAATGTGAATGTAAATGACACATTTTTAATGTAAATGAATGCCAAACAGACCAGAAATAAATATGTTGCTTTCTCATACACATCAAATAAACCAAGAGAACCAAACTGCAAGTGTGAACATACCTTTAGTGTGAGGTGAAACAGCTGAAATCAAAATTATTAGCCCTCCTGTGAAATTTAAATACTTTTTTTCCAATACTTAGCAAGTGTTGTTTAAAATAGCAATTTTTTCGTGGCACCTTTCAACTGATGCTAGATGAAATTGTATCTTTTTTCAGGAGTATTAATCGACAGACAAATATGGGTGCCACACCATTGTATCTGGCCTGCCAGGAGGGCCATCTGCATGTTGTGGAGTTTTTGGTGAAAGACTGCCAAGCTGACGTGCATCTGAGAGCCCAAGATGGCATGACACCACTGCATGCTGCAGCTCACATGGGCCATCATTCACTGGTGGTGTGGCTGGTGGGTTAAACATTCACCCTCTACATTTCAGCTATTTTCATGCACATTTTAGAATATCAAATAATAATCACACATAATTTGCCACCTTTTCAGGAAGTGATGATTTGGTTCTCTTTGACTCATTGGATGGAAACGGAGCTTTATTTAAAAATGTTTTGTGTAATATTTTAGTTTTGCACACAAGTTTAATTAGCATCTTTAGAAACATAGCTACTGACATTATGTATTAGTACAACTACAAACTTACAAGTGTATTACTGTTTTGCAGGGGACCTTTACAGACATCAGCCTGTCCAGTCAAGATAACGAAGGGGCAACCGTTCTACACTTTGCTGCCAGTGGGGGGCACCACCATGTCCTAGAGAGGTTGTTAGAGATGGGATCAAAGGTCAAGAAAGATTATTGGGGTGGCACTCCTTTACATGATGCTGCAGAGAATGGGGAGATAGAGGTGGGTTTAATTTGGGATGGAAGTCTGTTGTGTGCTGTATAAAATACAATTGTTGTTACTTATGCTGAGTGATATTTGCGTCATATGTGATTTTTTTTCAGTGCTGTCGAATCCTCCTGAGTCACCAGATCAACCCAAAGGAAAGAGATATAGATGGATTCACGGCTGCTGATCTGGCTGAATACAACGGCCACTTTGAGTGTGCCAGATACCTTCGATCTGTGGAGAGAAACGTTAGTGCAGTTCCTTAATTTTGCATTTAAGATTGTGTAGCAGTTTATTGTTAACCATCTGGTGTGTCACTTATTAAATGACAAAGATTTAACAATTATAATATTTTTTTTAATTATAACAGTTATCAGTTTATTTAAATATTTAGGTTTTAATTTAATTGGTGTTACTTTAATTTATTCTATATTTAATAACACTCATTTATTCTATATATAATCAAGTATTTACAATATTGTAATTTATTTTGAGAATATATTTTTAGATCTGTTAATGTGAGACATTAGATAATGTAAGCTAATGACAATTTGTAGGTAATTAAAAAGCTTTATGGTATTAACTTTCATAAAAATATTCATATTAGTTATGTTGGGATTGCTATGTTTTCATTTTCATATATGCTTTTAAGCAATAAAATGCTTAGGTTTTATGGTTACTGTAATGACCCTCTATTAACTGTCAACTTATTTCTCACTAAATGTCTAGTACACAAATGTACCATGTTAAAATTACAGTGGTTGTATTTTGTGTTGAAGTATATAATGATATAGTTTACCTCCTTTATATCTTAAAAGACTAGATAACTTGCACCACCTGACAAAAGTTTTGTCAATTAACCAAGTTTTAAGAGCAACAAATAACAACATGACTTCTAGTTGATTTTTTGGTACCAGAAGTGGTTTATATGAAGGTCAAAGGCCTCTAGATTGCGCTTATTTTACCAAAATAAAATATGATCATGCCTTGATTAATAATATTTAATTAGGACAGTAAAGTCTGACTTTGCTTAGACAAAAGTCTTGTCACTTAACAGAAATAATGTACAGTATAGAATATAACGTCATGGTGCAGTGGAAAAAGAATTAATATTGTGTTTGACTCACATGAGCTTTGAGGACTGCATCCAGACATCTCTGCAATGACTCAAATAACTTATTAATAAAGTCATCTGAAATGGCAAAGAAAGTGTTCTTGCAGCACTCCCAGAGATCATCAAGATTCTTTTGATTCATCTTCAATGCCTCCTCCATCTTACCCCAGACATGTTCAATAATGTTCATGTCTGGTGACTGGGCTGGCCAATTCTGGAGCACCTTGATCTTCTTTGCTTTCAGGAACTTTGGAATTTTAATGACAAGGAGCGCTATCCTGCTGTAGAATTTGCCCTCTCCTGTAATTTGTAATGTAATGGGCAGCACAAATGTCTTGATACCTCAGGCTGTTGATGTCGCCATCCACTCTGCAGATCTCTCGCACACCCCCATACTGAATGTAACCCCAAAGAAAATCTTAGGTGCATGTAGGTCTTCTGCCATATTTGTGATGCTTGGGATGCAGTTCAACAGATGATTTCTCTGAAAAATCTACCTTCTGACACTTTTCCAAATCAACTAGAAGTCAAGTTATCATTTGTTGCTCTTACAACTGGGATTGACAATAAGACTTTTGTCAGGTTGTGTAGTGTCATGGTACTTAACTAGTTCTATCCAACATATTGAATGTGTGCTGCAACAAAGGGGAATCAGCTATAATTATGAGAAAAGGTCAGAGGTTTCCACACATGAAAGTTAACATCATATTCTAAAATGATCTAAACGACTAAATGGAAATCCTGTATGAGAATCTCGGTGTTTCACTTTTTCCGGTTTTAGGATTGTTTTATTTGAGTTTTGACTGATGTGTCCAATTGTGTTTCAACTTTTATGCAATTTTATTTAAAATGTGCATATGCGTGTGTGTGCACCTCACTGACCTTTAAGCCATCTTGTTTCACATGGTCAATAAGATGCTGCTCAATTGAAGTCATACATTTTTCAAGGTTGAGCATGGTAATGCTGTTGGGGCAGCAGAATGACTGAACCATATAGGAAAAGAAATTAATCCCACATTTAGAGCACAAAGTTGATGGATCAGTCTACAGGGTATACTGCTGTTCTGGTGATTTACTGTATCTCACAACTGTGCATTCTTCGTTTTCAGTTTTGAAGATGTCCATCTGCATTAATGGGCGGTAGTAATAGCAGCTGTTTTTGCTGTTCCCATTCACAAAAGTGACCTTTTTTGTTTTGGATTTCTTCCATCATACCTTGCTTAGCTGATAAAACACATTTAACAAGCTAATACTTAAATGTATGAGCTAAAGCCCATATGAGCAAATTCTGGAGGAGCTGAATATTAATTTCCGTTAGGTAAACATGTTGTATAGGTTATAAGCCATAAATTTATGTTAAGGAAACCTCTATGGATTATATTGGTTACTCAGCTGTTGAATTGTAAGCATATTACTGACAATCTTATGACAACACAAGCTGATTTCCATGGAAGATTTGTTAGTCGAACCTGAATTATCGTTTTGTCGGATAATTTAAAATGAGGTTTCTGCAGGTTTCCAAGTCTGACTAGAACCATAATGTTTTTCATTATAAATCTGAGTGTTCAATCTAAGTTTTACATCGAGTCACTGTTTTTTAAAGCAGTTCTGTTCATACACCATGTTCTTCAGTAAAGGTTAGTGTTGCCCAGGGGTACCTGAAAGTTTTCCTATAAAGGGCCAAAAACCAAACTTGATTGAGGGCTGTGGGTCGAATATACTGTATATCAAACCATAATACAATAAATGTACGGAGTGTTTCCTGATTTATTTGGTAATATTAAAAAAAAATAGAAAATGATGCTTTAAATCATATTAACTTATAGTATATTACAATAAAACATAAGCATTTCCATTTATAACACAATGGAGTTCAATGCTGAATACACTGGTTGAGCTGCTCCTGCCTTCACCATGATTTGCTTGCAGATCACTTTTGCACTGTATTGTCAAGTGACAGTGTTTACATTTTAAAAGTCTGATTAATTTACATAATTTAATTGAATCATTTAATTTCGGTTGCATTTTTTATAGCTCAGCAATGAAACAAAATGTTGTTAAATTCAAAATGACAATTTCTGTTTAAGGCATTCACTTCAACTTTCTCTATCATTCTCACTCTTTTTTTCAGATGGAATGGTGGGCCAAATTAAACATTACCATGGGCCAACTTTGGCCTGCAGGCCCTACTTCAGGCATCGCTGGTCTAGCCCATGGGTCACCAATCTTGGTTTTGGAGAGCCAGGGTCCCTGCAGAGTTTAGCTTTAACTTGCCTCAACACACCTGCCTCGAAGTTTCATGTTTACCTAAGATCTTGATTAGCTTGTTCACATGTGTTTGATTAGGGTTCTGCAGGATACTGGTCCGCAGGAACAAGTTTGGTGACCCCCTGTCTAGCCTTTATATATTTTTTGGTCACCTATGATGAAAATCATCTTTTGTAAGCTGTTTGGACAGAATTGATGTAGGTATCGGGTGTCCACTGTCATATTGGATTGATAGAAAGACAATAAGTCTCTTTTTTAATTTCCTGATGTTAAAATAGGACCCAAGTCCCTCCCATTTTGAGGCCCACCGCAATGTCATGTAGGAGTGCACTTTCCCCGGCCATCAAATTGATTGAAAGCTGCGTATTAACTTGTCTTCATAGTAACGCGTATAATCCTATCAACAAAACAGGACGTGCACAAAGCAAATGGGATTAAAAGATCTGTTCAGTTTTCTATGATCATCAAATGTGATCAAGAATGAGTTTTACAAGTTTAAAACATTTTTAAAACAGTGTATATTTCTAATGAATTACAAGGTTTTTTTGTCTTTATCGCTATAGCCATGTATCAGTACAATTATAAAAGAAGACGCTTCAATCCCGGTTTGTGGATGTTAAATCAGGTTTATTTTGTACCTTAACATAATGGATATCTAAACAGCAGTGGTTATTATCATGTGTCCAGTCACATTTGTGTGCAGAAACAATGCAAAGTGAAACACTTGTGTGTGTGTGCGCTGTCTGTGTGTGTGTTCTCATCGACTCATTAACTCCATAACAAAGACATCAAATCACTGAGAAAAAAAAATTCTTTAGAAATTCTTACAAACGTTAGTGAGATCTGCTTCCTTCATGTCTGTTACCGTGCTGTTTATCTAACACAGCGGAGGTGGAGATTGAGGCACACTGACAGACAAGTGTTAACGGTGGGTGTGGAGAACTAGCATTAAAGGCACAGGCAACAAAAACAGCTACAAAATGCTCAGAGCTGAAAATGACAAACTCTGAAAGGTATAATAAATAATCTGCGGGGTGTTTTGAGCTGAAACTGTACAGACACATTCTGGAGACACAAAAGGCTTAATTTTGAAAAAGGGGTAAAATAGGTGCCCCTTAAATGTTACAACCCTATATGCAGAGATAATGTAGATATCCTTAACCTGTTCAGTGCTGAACTAGTGATCAATTTCAGCTGCGGTATTGAACTGATTGACCATTGAGATTCTCTTATGTGTTTTGTCTTTAATGGA